ATTACAGGCACCACTAAAATTTACGTAATATAATTATTTTGATACAGAATAGCAAAATGGGGAGAAAAAAAATTCGTTACTTTGCAACACTTTCGTATCTTGTTGCCGCGAAATTATTTTTCTGTTTTAGTGAATATTTACATAAGAATATGAGTTGAAACGCATTACTTACTTGTGGAATGCGATGTTAGTATCTATTTTGTTTGTCTGTTGTATTTTTACACCCATTTACCGCACATTTCGTCATTTTTAGCAAAAAATTTTGGAGCTGTTCGCGGTGCAATATGACCTTGAGCACTAACAGCCCGCGCGCTCCTGGGACGCGTTTGGAACCCTCTAACTTGCCTCACTTAGCGTGTGCGGGCTAGGTTTCTATGCGTTATTATTCTAAGGGTAATTCTTACACAAAATGGTTCAGGAATTGAAGCTAAATGACGCAATATATTTTTAACTTCTAGACGCAGCATGTTTACTTCAACTAAAATTACGTATGGGAGTTCGCCATTGTTCTTTCTCAAACACGACTTAAATAATTTATTACTTAAATCGGTTTTAATCTTGATAAGTTTATAAATCTTGTTTAGCTAAAAATGAAAGACGCTTAATTCTTTTTAGGTCAAATGACAACAACGAAGTTCAGTAATAAAGTGGCCACTTTCATTCCAAAGGTAGGTTGTTGGCCGTGTTAGTAAACACGATTTCAATGAATGTTCTTCGATATGTCGATTGACATTTTTTACGTCAATAATGTCGAATGAGACGTTGGCTAACTTAAAGCATCAAGCAATTAAGGCAAATATTTTGTCTAACGCGGTTAACGTTATGTTCAAGTACGTGACAATACTGCCTTCAGAGTTCAGTTATACACAATTATTTTTAAAATATTAACAACCTTGCAGTACTAGATAAGTAACATTTTATACAATAACTTTTGTCTCATGAATTTTGACAAAACAATAAATTCCACAAAGATAAATTTTTAAGTTTTTTTGTCCAATTAGACATTTTTAAAGCTGTATTTGCTCAGATTACAAAACATAGGTTAACCTATGGACGTAGGTTAATCTGAGCGTATTTGGTACCTAGTTATAGCAAATTCAAACGTGCAAGCGTTCTCTCCGACGACTCCACTCCGGCCGTCCTGCGTTTTCCACAGTGTTATCACCGTTTAGAGCGATCTATTTAAATATTTTTATTTTTGTATGAAGGCAAAATCTGACGAATTTTAAGGCATGGAACAAAGTTGTTGTGTACGTAGTTAATATTACAGTCCTACGAGGATCTTAGTTTTTTATAAATAACCCTGTATAAAAATATGAAATAAAAAAGGAATCACTTTTGTTTTTCTTAACTTAAAAAATCCATAGGAAATGATATTCTATTTATATAATTCAATTAATATAATATAATATAATTTATTTTATAATTCTATTTTTTCCGGATTTAAATCGCGTATATTTGTTTTTTCAAACAAACCGACGTTTCGGGCCCTTTACAGGTCTCGGTTGACTGAGGTGGTACATCTTCAACCAGTTATGTCTAATATTAATGCAAACCACCCTATTTTTTCGCTATAGTTACAATAGTTATTAATTAAATACCTTACTTGGTACTTGATGTAACGGGCTGGTGTCCGCAACTCGACGTCAAGGCGCCTATTTTGCGTGTAAAATTATATATAATATATATATATATTAAATACCTTATTCTTAATTTTACAAAGAAAACATTCCTATTTCCGCTACATTCAATTTTACAAATTATTTTATTTACTGAATTTTTATTAAGTTCAATTTATTAGTAAGCAATAATGGAAATTAGAATAAACTAAAACATATTAATTAGTACTGCAGTCTTATGTCTGTTTGGGATTTTTCATCACAGGAAATACTGGATCCCGAACTGGTGGTACGGAGAAATGATCTTCCCTGTTGAAATTAGGATGTTTTTTAATTTCAATGGTCTCTCGCAGCATCCTGGATAGATAACAGATTTCTTTTGCAAGGATCGTCAAACTTCATTGAATGTGTATATTTATCCATGACATACTCGTAGACTGCAGACTTGTTTACGCGACGGTGTTTGACATCAGCTATATGTTCTTTGACGCGGGTACAAATACTTCACTTCGTTTTTCCAATATAAGAGAGACTGCACTCACAGTCAAGCTTGTAAACTCCTGCATCCTGTAAGGGGACGTTACATTTCACAGGTCTCAGGAAACTGAAAAAAATCCACCTGAGATGCGAAGAGGTTTCCTAAAGAAACGTGCCACGGCTTTGGCGTCCTTTTCTTGTAACATGATTCAACCCAGTATCGACATAGTTTTAGGTTTTGAACTTGCCGCCAATGTAAAAAAGATTTGAAGAATTGGTGCTCGTTAACGAGATGATATGATTCATTGCTGCGTACGACTGTAATGAATGAAAATAAGACCTGAATAGTAAGTGAAACTATTTTTTCGGATCAAATCATATCTTCTACACCGGTTATATATAAAAAGGCCGTAAGAGGCCGAAACATTGGTTTGTATGAGAAAACAAATACATAATATTTATACGCGATTTGGATCCGAAAAAATAGTTTCATTTCCTATGTATGTGTAACAATTGCGAAAATCTAAGAACTCGATAAATCTTGGAATGTTTTCTAAAGAAATGTCATCTAGTCAAAAGTGACTAAACGTATTTTTTTCCGTCCTCTGAGGACTAAACGTAATTACACAAATCTTTCTTTTGAGTCTTCATTTAATAAAATGTCGAAAATTAAATATAAATGCATTTAGTAATGGTTCTTTATAGTTTAGAAACTTGAATCACACGATCGATTATAAAATGAGCCACTCTCAATACCTAACTCAAAAACATACTTTGTATTGTGAAGAGCAACTCTATTCTTGCAATGTCTAAAAGTCTTTGAATTGGCGGCAAGTGAACGTGTGCGTAAAATATTTTATGTAAAGTAATTTTTCACATTTTAACAAACAGTTTATTGCTAAATAATTATAACAAACAAGTATTGCAAATATCTACTTTAAGATTTGATAGTTGTCAAACCTCACCACCGGGACCATTCCTTGAAATAAATTTGAAATGGATTTACCAAGCAAAGAAGGCTCGCTCAACGAGGTTTGTTAGTTTTTATTTGTTTTATTGGTTAATTGATATCCTTGAACTATGTTATCGATCTTGGTGCTCACTACAGAGCGTCATTAAGACTTATATTATGATGTTTTCGGAGATTTACAGTTATGCAATGTTACAGAGATTACATTTTTTTTATTATTAACTCTTGCGGTATAATTTATTTGAAGATCTGTTTATTCAAGTTTATCTGCAATTACACATTGCGATAGTCTGTTCTTACATGCTATACTATTTTATCTTATGATATTGGGTATAATTATAAATATTAGTGAATTAATACAGCCTAGTTTATAAATCATTATGTAAATATCACCACAAACTAAGAATTTATACATGAATAGTGTATACATATGAATTTGTATAATAATATTAAAACCAACAAGCATTTATTTGTCTAAAATAGTTTTTTTTAGTATTTCTGCTGTCCTTATAAACAATGTAATCAACATTTTTAGTGAAACTCAGTTATTAACAAAGCAAATTCTGGCATATGGTTTATCACCCTAGGCAACTCTATACTGCATACTGGGGTGAAGTCTGATGGGTGGGAGAACAGAATTCCTCAGTTGCAAAAGAATCAGCAAATTGACATTTTGACATTGACAATGATATGGAATCAGCAAAGCGAGATCTATAAACCTGATATGAATGATAGGGGATCATTTGTTTATCTTATTTAGTTTGTTTTAGTTAGTTAGATCTTCATCTCAAAATTTACTAAACTGCAAATGCGTTGTTTATGATAAGGATTTATTGAATTATACCTGTTTATTCTTTGTTTCGGAGAACACCAGAATACAGATCAAATACTGGGTGCATCAGTAAAATGATTAGTTTTGTTAACAAGTGCTCTTACACAGGGTTGTCAAGTGATTAGCCATTATCATGCTATCAATACATTGTATATTAGTAATCATCCTATACAGTCACTACTATCTTGTGTAAAATAGATAGTCATTGAATGAATAATTTTGACTTCGCCCTATATAAACGAAAGGTGTTGGTGACTATAGTAGACCAGTAACCACATTTGTGACACACACAAACTGAGAGTACTTAACTCTTAGGACTTTGTTATATTAAGTAAAAGAAAACCAAAAAATAAACCAGGATCATAGCTGACTGGCGATTTGTAATGTCTGTCTTGATTGTTATTTTAATTTCCTTACCAATTATGTTCAAAACCTAAATTTGTTATGAAAGTGGAAAGTGCAATATAAAAGGTTGTTATTTTTACTGCCAGCGTTCTCTACTGAGAACCTCCACATTAAAAAGCCTCTTTAAATTTTTATTAGTATTTGTAGATCTACTTAATGGAATTAGAATTTAAACATTCACTGCTCGTAACAATCCGTCTGACAGACGGTAGCACATCATGCTCCCACTGACTGTATTAATAATTATAATAATGCGCACACTCAACATAGCCCCGCACTAGGGGAACCCTGTGTCATGGGTGCCATGGACACACACAGTGACAACCACAAATTACACCCAAACTCACAGGAGAAATAAATGTAGGCCGTACAAATATTTCTCCCGGTCTGGGAATCGCACTTGGGGCCTCTGCGTGACAGTCTGGCATGGTAACCGTTCGGCCACTAAGGCAGTTGGAATGGTATTCATAATGCATTTTATAACATTTTGTGTATATCACTTAAATATTGTAACTGCATAGATCGTCATAAGTATTTAAATAGGGAAGTCACAGTCAAAATGTAAGATTACAAAACCACTTCAATGTAGACATATTGATTGACTTATTTGTCAAGTACCACTTACCAAAGTACTTATAATAACAAGTACTTACTTGGCATTAGATAAAGGAAAAATGTGTTAAACATGCATAATAAAATTAAATTCAACGTGAATCACGACCTGGGGCGTTGTATTCGGGAAGCTGGCAATGTTTTCCTTCTGGAAAACTCTGGCAGAAGTAGCTAGCCACCTTCAGGTCACAGAAGGCTTCAACGAGGTGAAGTGAAGCTCCTTTAGCCTGTAGACTCAAAGGACCTTTTCACCGTTTAAAAGCATACAAGTGTAAAACTGGCTGATGTAGATGTAGTAGACACGTTGTGCTGTACTTGGTTGAATCGTCAACAGCATCAACTCCCGTGCATTGGTGGGGATGGATAGTTCTTACGCCCAATCGGAGGCAGACAGCTAGCCAGAGGAACCGTCTAGTAGGATCCTACGTTTGCCGAGGATAGTACCCGTACCATGTCTCCTTTTTGAAGACAGCCTTAAGACGAGCGCATAATTTGAGGTACTGGCAGAGTGTATGAGTGCTTCTTGAACACTCTTGCAGATTGACTCCTTTGTTGGTGCGGGAATAACATTACGTCGATATCAAAACATTTGGACACTGACGCTTCTGGCGAAGGACTACGCCAGAAGAGCGGTACATCGAAACAGCCGCTACAGGGCTAATGATGCCACTGAAGAGGCTGTGTCTGTGTTGAGCATTGACCTTAGGTCAATGATGTTGAGTGTCAAAATATGAAAGGCCGGGAAGTCATCGTTGGAAATGTTTCTGACTCCTTGCCCACCGAACAGATGTGAAAACGAGGCAGGCTTTAAGACAGGAGCACTTATTCGCAGAACAATTTTCATTGATGTCACGGGTCAGGTAGTCGATAGAAGAAAAAAGGGATTACTAAATTTCAGAGATGTGAACGACGGAGGACGTAAGTATATTTAAGAACGACTAGGCGGTCTTACGTTTTGGGGAATTTATCTATCAAATCGTTAATGAATCCTGAATGGAGCCATCGAGAATGGACGCCTAGTTAGCTATCAAATACAACTACGGTTTTTTGTGGTATCGTTCACCTCTTCAAAATGGTCATTTATTCATCATTACAGTATCAAGTCACGAAAAGATGGTATCACTACGTGACAGTGGAGCCTACTATGTTTTTCTATATGATGGCGTTTATGATAACAAACGTGGTAGAACAAACTTTCTACATTTTCAAGGCGTGTACAGTAAATCATGGATACAGTCCTGAAGTCTGTTACAACATTACCAGCAATACAACGATTAACACAGAAGTTCAGGTAATTCTCATTCAATTACTTTAAATTTAATACAGTTTTTGGAATAAATTTTAAGCGATTCACGTTAGTATTGTGCGTACTTTATGTTCTGTTCTCAACTTGTCCACTCGTTCATAAGCTCCTCACACATACAACGTTTAAGTATAATTTTATGACATTTTGTATAGCCTTATCCTCTGATTACAAAACAATAGGCAGATGGAGCGCGCCGAACACGAAAGTGAAGCCACCAAAGCAAATACAAATTCAAAAGCGAATATAATCTCGCGTCAGTACTTGGGACAGCGTTGCACTGTCTGCACGTCACGAGTGATTAGTTATTTTATGTTTAAAAATGCTGTCTAGTGTCTTTAAACATTTTAAAAGTTGTTCTCAAAAAAAAAACGATAATAATAAGATGGAATAGTTTTCATGGGGAACTATTGATTATTTAACTGTTTTGTAATTTATTTACCCAATATTTTTTGAGATTCACTCGGAACACAAAACATCGACATAAATTCGTACGTGTTGCCAGTTTATATCGAAATGAGTTTCCTTAAATTAGGTAAATATGCATGGGCGATAGGAGCATCGATTAATTTATACTTTTATGTAGAAATTAAATAATGCATGCATACACATACAGGCTGGTCCATTTACAGCGATCCAAAATTGTTTTTAGGTAACTCAGATTTACCTAAATTATTCTCAAACCAATGTCTAATAGCCATAATGTACACAAAAGAAAATGTAGCCCTATAGATACAGAGAACTTTCATTGTTGTGTGCACGTGTCATAAACAGAGTGAGTTTGAAAGAAAACGTGTCATTAAAAAAATTGATTATGATGCATAACTTCACAGGTTCTAACGGTTCTAAAGAGTTTCATTGGGAACCAAACAATTTTTGTCAAATTAGAAGATGACCGCCAATGCTATGGAATTGATTACAAAGTTAATATCGTAAAAAAAAAAGAAAAGGAAAGTATTTGGTTGGTGCGATAGCACTACATATCAAAATCAGAAACGAAAGCTCAATGTATAGACGCGGAACGTTAGTATTATAAAAAAACATGTACAAAATAAAGGTTATAAAGATATTGTGAAACTGTGATTGCAATAAATATTAAGAATTATCAAAGTTTTTTGGTTTTAAAATATCTTAATAAAATATTTTTTCCTTTGCGAGATGCAAAACAAATAATAACAATTAAATATTAGCTTATATTCCATATAATTTTTTTGATATCCTAATACCATTTAAGTACCTATATTGCAAAATAACACTTCCAGTTTATAACATTAGTACTATAGAAAGCAACAGAAAAAAATACGGGAGTTTTTTCGTTGCATCTGTCAATCACACAAATGCGCATGTCCTTACAGTGCCCTTCCTAGTTGTCACGCGCACAAGAAATGAAAAGTGGCTTCACATCGTTTGTTGCGTATGCTCCATCTGCCTATTGTTTTGTAATCCGACGCCTTATCAAACTCCTGTCTACTACTATTTATTTACGATCAGGATATTTTGCGAATAGATTGAGTTGCAGTCGTCTCTTATTAGCTTGCCTTTTAATCATTATTTACATACATAATAATCAAAAATGAACTTACGATTAATATATCGAGTATATCGGTATATTTGCTCGTCTCAAGATAGCTACGATTACATACACTGTGTTTGAAGTGCTGGTTTTGTGCAAGAGATAACGCTCGCTGTTTGTAATAGAATACTCACTGGAAAATGTACTGCTTGAAATGTGATAAACTGATAACATCAAGACTCGTTCAATTGGAATGGAGATTTGTTAAAGCCTGTACAGGCCTATTGTGCTATCATATTACATGATAATGTTATAACAATACGTGATAGATTTTTATCTTTGTTCATAGATCTGTGTCTAGCTAATTTTGGCATAACATTTTACGTAACACGTTTCAAGTAATTAAAAAAATGATAAATAAATATTAGACAACATCGCATACGTTGCTCAGTCTCCAAGTAAGCAATAAAACGCTTATGATATTAAACTCGGAAACAACGACAAAAAGACAAACATCCAGACTCAAGACTTGAGACAATATAGAAAAGTTAGTTTTTCTGCATTGCCTCGGCCGGGGATCGAACCTGGCCTCAGATATGGCGATACCATGGCAACCGGTGTGCAAGCCTCTACTCGACCACGGTACAGGATCTACTCATTAAATAAATATTTATTGTGGACATTGTCTTTTAATACACACTGTCCTTTGCAGGTCACAGTGACATCTTTCCTACAGTGGTTTGGTATATCCAGTCATATAGTACCATGCTTCTTGGCCTTCTTTCTCGGTTCGTACAGCGACAAACGTGGCCGAAAGGTCATACTGCTCGCAGGTCTTCTTGGAAAACTCTATTTCTCCATAGTACTTACTTTGAATACAATTTACGGTGAGTTGTTGCGTATTTATTTCGTTTCTCAATTTGATGCACGCAGGTTTTATGGCCTTATTAATATACTATAAATGATTTGAATACAACTACGAGAAGGAAGCCGAAAGTTAATAGCTATCGTGGACTACAGGTACAACTAGTCCACAAACTGAATGTCGTTCAGATTGGTGCGGAAAAAGGTTGCCGACGAGATAAGATTCGGAACGAAATGATGCTTCAAAGAACTACATACGTTACGACCAAGCTTTGAAGGTTAACATGCTAATGTGGCAGATGGCTAGACACACATATCGAACATTCGAAATTGCAAGTATATTCTGGAGTGGAGATCACATCTATATACACTACATAAAATGCCCGTAAACTGCTACCTACAAAGCCAGAGATTGGCTTTTGAGGCGTATCAAGAGATATCTATACCAGTGCCCTTATAATAATGACGATTTGGATGGAATAGTATACAAAAATCTGCAAAGGAAAATGCAAATTTCTTCTACCCACATAATAAATAGGTCAACTGGACACAACCTCCTAAAGCCTCATGTACATCAAAATGTATATAACGTGTAAAGTGATTCAGACCCAGACAATATTATTTCTATATTGGCATTTAATGCCCAGTGTACGAACGGCAGCACATCAAGCTACACATTGATGGATCGGTCCGTTGCACTGGAGGCGATACATTGTAATGAAAATATCATATTTATAATAATATATATAATATGTTCTATATGACTTTAGGGTATTTAGAAAGATACGTTTTGCGTACAAAACTGAGGACATACTTGCTTGGGCCTGAATCATAGTTAGTACATTTTAAAGTACGTTGAGCGTTCAGTGCTTTTCCTATTGAAGTTGCTGGGTGTTAGGAGCATAAACTCACAGAAAAATATAATCCATCGATTATTAAAAACCAATGCTGAGTAATGTATAACAAATATTTGTTTTTATCATTGTCGTTTCTTTGTCTGCTTGGAACGTAGTAAAAGTACGTGTACATAATTATGTGCTTAAATTACTTAAATTACTACAGCCAACAACTTACCTGCATGCGCAATATTTAAAGACACCGCTTGTGAAGTTCTGTTAGTTCACGTGTCACATCTTTATTATTATTATTTTCCTGTATATTTCTATTGGCCTTAAGATTTATGTCCTGATAAGGCAGTGCTGCTGCTGTAATAAAGTACAATAATTCATACAAGTACGTAATCTAATGTTACTTTACTCATAATGCGAATGTGTATTTGAATGTTATTGTGCCACTCCATCCCAAACCCAATTCAATTCAAATGCAAGTGCTGCTACATGGCTTACAGCATAGGAATACTAAAGAAGCCTTCGCAACAACAACTTTTTCTATTTACCTCTTGGGATACTCGTCAAATTCTTAAAAACCATTGAATTTTCTGTTAATTACTTCCATATTTATTCTACAGATTGGCCTTTGGAGTACGTAATATATACAGCAGCGTTCCCTAGTGCGTTGACGGGCGCAGATTTAGCTATATTCGCCGGGTGCTTTTCATACATCGCCGACGTCTCGTCACTGAAAAACAGGACATTCAGAATAGGTATATTAGACGTGGCCTACCTTAGCACCATGCCCGCAGGTGTCGCTATAGGTAACTGTTTAATTTGTTTTACTTAAAATCACTTCAAAAAGTATACCAATTGGGTTGTGATTAAATTTGACCTTTATAGCCGTTACCAGTTGTAAAATTTGTTTCACAGAATTATAAAATAGGTTATCAAACATCCACCGCACGTAGCAAAAAGCGAGAATAGCAAATTCTTCAGTTTTAATGCCGTTTAATAAGCCTTTTTAATGTGTGTTTAAGAAAAGTAATGCATTTCAATCCAAACTTACAATTTCCAGGGAACGTGTTATACAACCATGTGGTAAACAAGTCATTCACAGCAATGTTTTTGATCAACACCTCTTTAATGGTCGTGGCTACCTTATGCTGTATTTTGTTCCTAAAGTGGCAGACAAGACCTGAACAGAAATCTTTAAGAGAAGCTGGTGCCACTAATCCATTGACGGATTTCTTGGATATAAATAATATGAAACAAACTTTACGTACTTTATCGAAGCCACGTGCTAATCACAGGAGACTGTTCTTATGGTTCCTCCTTATATCTATGGCGTTTTATACGTTCCAAAGAGGTATGTAATTTATTAGGTACACTTGGTCTTACTTTAAGGATATGAAAAATGATCTAGGTAGTTGCCACGGAGTGAAATCTGTTGTTCTGGTATTCATAATACAGGGAATTCCCTAGCTTAAGAATTATCAGGTAAATGGTGCCCCTGTTTAAAATAAAAAAATCCTTTTAAATCCTATCAAACAAAAACAAATGCATGAAACCATTAACCTATATGAAATGTAACCTTTTTTGATATTAGTAGCAGTAGAGACCCTTGTGAAAGATTTCGTCCAGAGAGGTACTGTCGTAGTCGTAGGTATGGTTATCTATTTCTGCTGCCAAGTAGTAATGTGAGGATTACTGCGTTCCGATTTGGAAGGGTAAGGGTGCTGGTGAAATTACAGGCATATGGGACTTGTCAACTTATGTCTCAGGGTACGGGCGCAGTGGCAGTGCCCCTCAGATCTTTGCGGTTTAAAGCTCTAAGTAGCACTGCAACTGCTAGGGATAGGCGTGTTGCTTACCCCAGGAGAACGATTAATTCGTATCGTCACTTGGTATTATAAACAAAAGGAAAATTTAAATTTTTATTGAATTGATAATCAATAATTTTTTATGTGAAATTCCTCCACTAGTTTGTTAATACAATATTTTGAATATCAATTCTATAAAAAATTAAATACAATGAATAGCGTCATCTCTAGCCAGGGCTGGTAGCTGTAAAGGTTCTCACTGGGTGACGAATGACTTACGATTTCTCATAGTCTAAAAAGTCGTTGAAATACCAAATACAAAGACACGACAACAAACTCAGAAAAATTCGTGAGGTCCGCTGTTTCGTTCCGTTGCTTAATTGGTGTAGCGTCTGACACGGTAAGTTAGAAGACGTCGGTTCGAATCCGGTTCGGTTCGAATAAATTTTTTCTGAGTGTGTCTTTGTATTAAAATTATAAAAAGGAAAATTCTGAATAAAAAATGTAATTCCATTCTGAACATCGCTTAGGTAGTGATATCGTAACTCCATTTTTGAGCAAAAATGGCTTTTTTACTGTTCAAGCTATCTATGGGCCAATTAAAGGCTGAAATATAAATTTGTAGACCTTTTTTTAGTTATAAAATAAAGGTATAATCATAGATTGTCATACAATTATTTCTGGTAATTTTGTCTTTTGAGCTTACTCAAAAGTTCACATTAATGGTGGTATGAGGTTTACGAATTATATCACGACTAAGTACAAATATTTGTGATTGTCTAGTCCTAGGGCTTTCTAACAATTGACTTTGTTACAAAGTTATAACCTAATAACGATGTATGACTGTCTGATACTGTTTACATTATAATAAATAATATAATTGCGATCATTTGCTCAGAGACTGCAACAATATGAATCTGATTCCATTTTGTATATTTCAGACGAGCGTTCAGTGATGTACTTATACACTATGACAGTATTCCAATGGGACAACACAGCCTTTAGCCACTTCAGGACGTACTTAAGCACAGCCTATGTAATAGTCATGCTTTTTGGAATTCCCTTCATGACTAAAGTGCTCAATTGGAAAGATACAGTAAGTGGAGTAAAACTTATAATACCTGTTATCTCTTTTTTCTTCAAATATGAGCACCGCGCTATAACTTACTACTTACTACTTAATGTGACAGCTACAATTAAAGGTTTTCAAATTTATATGACAACTACCTGGTGCCCGCCATTTCTTTTGCGTAAAATAAGCACTTGAGTAGTCTACTGTACTTACTTGAGAAATGATCAGTTGTCTATACAAACTCTCATCCAATATTTCGCCCCTTTCATATTTATTTTTGTGATAAAAAGTTACCTATCGACTGTGAACTGGCAGTTGGTACTATCTCAATTTTGACAACTTTACAGGTGAAGAAAAAATTGTTTTCGTCCTATATATCATCTGATTTATTAAATAAAAATACGTATTTTTCAAATATTTTTATTGCTCGTATATTACGTATTTTTATTTATTAAACCAGATGCTATATAAATGACGCAAACAATTTTTTTCTTTATCGTGTAAAGTTGTCAAAATTGAGATAGTACCGGTTGCCAGTTCACAGTCACTATGTCCGTTTACTAGGTCCCATTATACATATCTCTATACCAAAATTCATCAAATTTGGTTCAGCTGTTTAGGCGTGAAAACGTAACAGACAGAACACTGTCCACTGTTTTTCGCCAACTATAACAATAGTTGGCGAAAAATTATTCGACCGATTCGTCTTATCGCTTCATCTTTAGAGTACTATAAGACACAAGAGTGGACTGTCTCGGTAACGCACGTGCCATCTGTATAGTGCAAACAACTAGTTTAAATATTAATTCTAAACTTGATAATATTAATACTTAAAAACTTGTTGAATTAAAAGAAAAAAGTCGGCATTCGCTATTTTACGAAGTACCTACTGTTAAAAAAACGACTTGTTAAGCGAAGACATAATTGAAAACTAGAATTCAGGAAAAGCATTTAGCGCACCCAAGACTGGCGCAATGGACCAAAACCGTTAAATCCGTGTACGTTTTAAGTAAAAGAAGTGTTAATGGCTTTATTGCCCTATAGTAATAGAGAGGATAAGCCGTTTTAAGAGATAACATTCGTCGGTGCAAATAATATTTCTTCATCTATACTATGGAGCTAGTTTCGCGTTTATAATATTAGTTTGGATATCCCACACAAAAGCCATGTGTACAATCATTGTCGTTAGTCTTGAGCGTAGAATTAATAATAGAGACCATACAGTGAGCTGTCTGGAGAAGTGTGCGCACACACAAATTAATATTGCGCCAATAATTTTGTATAAGATCACTCACTGCATTAAAAATTGCGAATAGAGATATTAAACTTTCGATCCTTTATAATACTTGAATGGAAACTGTAAGATATAGATGCGAAAGTCTATCTTCCCATATTATGCTGTTTGTGCAGTGAGGTTGTTGGGATGTCATCTGCACCCCAATTTTGCTAATTTTGTTGAAATCACAGGCCACTGTAATTCCATTGAGTTTATATTGCAATTATGATAATATTTGCTTTATATCATCTTTGTTTTTTTTCTTTCTATTTGCAATTCTACTAAAATCTAGTTGCAATGGAAGTTGAGTCTCAATAGAGTGTTAGTGTAATGTGTGATCAGTGATCGATGTTGCGTTACTAAAACCACAACGGAAATTACTATGCATGTTATCTTAATTTTTTGCAATTTAGTCTTCAAATGAAAAATGTATAATATTTCGAGTTCTTAGGTTTTCGCGATTGTTACACAGGAAATGGAAATGAAACTATGTGACCCTTTACAGGTCCCATGGTCACCATGACCATGGGCCCTGTCAGGGCCCGAAACGTTGGTTTGTTTCAAAAAACAAATATAAGTTGTAAGAAATTCACCATCTTTCTTCAGATTAAACTCTTATTAAGTTTATAGCTTTTCTGTTATTGAGTTTCACGTGTAGAAAGATAGTGATTTTCTTACCATAGCTATACGAATGTCACTTATGTGGTTTTACCTTTAAACAGACGATATAATATTATTATGTTGTACAATAATATTATATCCGTCCGTACTACACCATCGACATGCCATCGATGACTACAAGAAGAGTAGAATACCAAAAAATTGCAATGGTAGTTGAGTAGAAGTTCGATGGCTAGCCACTACTTTTTAACTGTTAGCAGAATACCAAATGTACAAAATCTTGCCATTGAGATTATCGGTACACAACTGAGGGCGCGTTCCCATTATGTCGTCACGTTTTATTATCGTTGGACGACTGTCGTGTCTAGCCTGTTCCCATATCACGACTATCTGTCGTGGACGATTTTCTATCGTTGAACGACTGTCGTGACTAGCTGTTCTCACTAGACCGTGACGACAATTTATCGTTTCACGACAGCCTCCTTGTCGTTTGCATGACAGTCGCTTGTATGTTCTTTTGGAAGCCGGTAGTGTGTGTTCGCTCGAAATGGATGACGACGAAATTATAATAATGTATTACTTTTTAAAAATGCGGAAGAGGAAGTAAACAAAGAAAAGAAAATATAACGTGACGTATAAAATAAAACGTGACGACAATAGTAGCTGCGACAATCTGTCGTCACGTTTTTATCGTGACGTTTTTTAATCGTCTGTCGACTCGTTCTAGCTGTTCCCACTGTGTTGGGTTGTCGTTACAACGACAAAAAATTCGTGAACGACATTTAATCGTGTCGTGCTATATGTGAACATCTTAATTTAAATTTACAAGCTACGACACTGTAAACTAACTGCACGACAATCTGTCGTCACGACGTAGTGGGAACGCGACACGAGACGATTTAAAATTAGCAGACTTGGGCCCCTGGTTAGCGACTTATAGTCAAACAGGAACAATTTTAGATAGTTTATTCGTTCATGGTGCAAATAGAAGTGAATTAATAATTTAATTACAATTCATTGAATCTTATGCGTACTCAACATTTCCTTCAAAAAGCAATTCAGTGACCTATTAAAGAAGTCGCGTTGCTTCGACACATTACACTCTTATACACTTAAGGTTTTTATAATCTCAGTACAGAATACTAAAAAACCGACCTCAAAAGTACGTGGAATTACGTCTAATTGCTAAGTTTTATAGAAATATACCCTAGTTCGCCACTATACAGGACTTGACACTGGAGATAATAAAAATCGGTTCTCACTACTCAAAGTATATTGAACCATTAAAATAATTGCTCCTAAATTAAAGTTAGGCGCTATTTATAAAAATCAATCTTCATGCGTGAACAGCCACCCTTCGAGGTGGGTGATTTTCTTCAAAATAAAATGGGACCACTATGGAATTACCCCCTTTCCAACAAAAAAGAATCATGAAAATCGGTTCACAAATACCGGAGTTATCGCGTAACATACACACATCAAAAAAAGTTTGCGATCAATAGCATAAGCTCCTATAATTCTTTAAATTTAACTTTATCAAGAAAAAATCTATGTTGTATGCTTTCTTTAAATAGGAATACCCTGTTTGAAATTAAAATATAAAACTATTTTTTATTATTTATTTTAAAAAATTGAGCCATTAATCATAATGTAACAGTGATAGAAATTTCATAGAAAGAAAAAGACTGTTTAATTAAACTTAAACAACAATTTATTATTAAAAGGTGTGAATTCAATATAAAATAACTCCTCCCCTGGCTCGAATACATGCGAAGATCCTCCTGGGCATGCTGAGGATCAAGCTATCCAGCATTTCCTGGGGTAACCTATCCCATTCTTCAATAGCGGCTTCCCTGAGCCCTGGAACTGTCTGGGGACGTGGCTCACGGTTCCATACTGCTCCTTTAAGAGCATCCCACGCGTGCTCTATTGGGTTTAAGTCGGGCGAGCCGGCAGGCCAGTCTAATCGTGTGATATCGTATTCTTGAAGAGCAGCATTGACTCGTTGAGCTCGATGTGCGGGCGCATTATCATCGACCAGTACAAATTGGTGCCCATGGTTTACTCGGAATGGTCTGACGATATCATCAATAGCAACTGCTTTGTACATGTCTGCTGTCATGAAGCCCCGATACGGGATCAAAGGCGTTCTAGCTCCAATCATAATGCCACCCCAAAAGGACACCGATTTTCCGCCTTGCTGAACTGTTCCAGTGGCAGTTCTTTGTCTTTCACGGTCGCCTGGTCTTCTCCAGCCACGGACACGTCGGTTATCTGGATGAGTGCTGATTCGGGATTCGTCAACGAAGAGACAGTTTTGCCAAATGTTTTCGTCCTCACCTTCTTCATTTTGCCGAAGTCTAGCCCACTGCAATCTTCGTTGTTGACGTTGCCGGGAATTGAGCGGAGCTCGCCAAGACCTCCGTGCTCGTAATCCAGCCTGGTGCAAGCAATTGCGAACGGTCTGCGTGCTAACTTCAAGCCCAGAGGCGGCCCTGACTTCTGCTTTTATTTTATTGGCGTTGATTGTTGGATCACGGGCTGCCAGCAATCTAATATAGCGCTTTTGGGCAGCTGTCAAAACAGTTGGGCGACCGCTGCGGGGTCGGTCAGCTAAATTCCCCATTCCGTGATACCTCTGCAACGTAGCCACGACACAGGATTGGGATATAGCAAGTCTGCGTGCTATTACTCTCGTGGTGCATCCTTCTTCCCTCAAAGTTACTATTCTAGCTCGTAAAACCTCTAATAATCCTCTTGGCATTTTTTCAATCACAACTTTCCGCGAAAAATATCTTGAATCGCTTATAATTGACTAAATCAGATTTCTGAATGAGCGTAAGCTAGGACTGAAAGCCTTTTTATATAAAAAAAATATATAACGGGGTCATTGTTTTATGTTCTAATTTATTTTTAAATAAAGAATCTAAAAAGAAGAAAAAATCATAATATAATCTACAGTAACAAAAAAGATTTCAGTTTTTCGAAGTGATCGCAAACTTTTTTTGATGTGTGTACATACAAAAAAAAAGAAAAAACGAACACAGTCGAATTGAGAACCTCCTCCTTTTTTGAAGTCGGTTGAAAACAATGTCTAATATAAAAAGGGAGATTATGGTACAATAGGTATTAATACAGTAGTTTTACGGATAATTTTAACGTCGAAGATAACGTGCATTCGTTAATTGTTATTTTCAGATAATAGTAATGCTGGGTGCTGTATCTCATATGACGGGACACTTTATCTACGCGCACGCAACCTCAGGCAAGCTTATGTACGTGGGCGGAACATTCGCGGCACTCGGCCCTTGTGTAGCGCCTCTTATAAGATCTATGACTTCAAAAGTATTAGCGCCCTCAGAAAGAGGTATTTTTTTTTTCAAATCTTCATGTCGAATATATCATTTTGCTTATCCAGAAATTTTCTGTATCAAATAATACGTGGAACAGTGCTGGGCTCCTTTTAGGAATGAGCAGTGACCCCCTTGTCCACCGCAGTAGCCCAAAGCTAGCTGGGGACCGTCACACGAGTTTTCTGAGCCTTATTTGATATGAAGTCTTCCTCACGATAAAGAGAATGATGATGAAGTTAATTCCCTTCAGCCGTACAAGATTCAAAAACTCGGCCACGTGGCAAGTATCCAAAATACAACCTTGTTACATGATTAGGTTGTATAACTTGTCATAGATCTAGCATATAAATCACTGCATCCTGAACAAAATGAACAATTTAGATTATTACTTTCCAGGAGTGGCGTACGCTTTCTTGTCGGTAATGGAAAACGCTGTGGCGATGTTCGCATCTGTAGTCTACTCGCAACTTTATAGGGCAACTCTAGAAACTGACTATCTGAATGCCATATTTTACCTCACAATGGGCACGCAGGTCATCGTTTTTATTTGTGCATTGTAAGTAACAACATAAACATATTTGTTAATATTAGGGGTTAAAGTATGAAATTGCCGTTTTATTGCAATAGGTTCTTTGAATTTTCATAGAATCTTCATGGTTTGAGGTTTTCGAATGAAACTTTTTTCAAATGGTTTCGGTGATTTTTTTTTTTTAAATTTGAGACATTTGAATATCGACTTTCAATTGTTTTTGTTATTCAATTTAGACAAGAAAGATGGATACTGCGAAAATTCGAGTGATTTTTGAATACGAGTTCCGACGCGGAACTAACGCGGCAGAAACAGCCCGCAATATCAATGCTGCGTTTGGAGAGGGGTCTACTAATGAACGCACCGTGCGATTTTGGTTTAAACGCTTTCGTGATGGAAATTTCGACTTAAAGAACGAGCCACGAGGAAGACCGCCCACACAGGTGAATAACGATGAATTAAGAGAGATAGTGGAAGCCGATCCTAGTCAAACTACCCAGGAATTAGCGGCATGGTTTAACGTTACCTTACCCACAATATTGACTCACTTGCGTCAAATCAATAAAATAAAAAAATACGAAAAATGGGTGCCTCATGATTTGACTGATCTGCAGAAAGAAACGCGTGTTGAAACTTGTGTTGCCTTGTTGAACCGGTACAGAAATGAAGGAATATTGGATCGAATTGTAACATGTGATGAAAAGTGGATTCTTTATGATAACCGGAAAAGAAAAATGCAATGGCTGACCCCAGGTCAAATGCCACAACAGTGTCCTAAAGCAAAACTTACCAATAAAAAGGTAATGGTAACTGTTTGGTGGTCTCAGCATGGTGTTATTCACTATAGTTTTCTCCGATCTGGTCAAGCAATAACGGCAGATGTCTATTGTGCCGAACTCCGAACCATGTTGACAAAACTAGCAGTAAAACAGCCCCGACTCATGAATCGATCTTCACCATTATTGCTCCACGACAACGCGAGACCTCACACAGCACGAGAAACCATTTTGACCCTTCAGGAACTGCAGTTAGAAACCATTCGTCATCCTCCGTATTCACCAGACCTTGCTCCAACGGACTACCATTTTTTTCGTGATTTGGACAATTATCTACGTGACAAGAAGTTTTCTTCCCAGGAGGCAGTACAAAATGCTTTCACACAGTTTGTGCAGTCTAGATCGTCGGAGTTCTATCGCAAAGGCATTAATAACCTTCCCATTAGAT